ATTATTAACCATCTTGAGTATAACGATTTTATTTGATAATAAATATATTTAGGCCTTAAGGATAGTATTATTATTAAGAAGCTTTATTATTTCGATATTATAATCAATATAGAATACCTCCTTAGTTTTAAATTTATTAAATTAATTTTAGGCTTCGGTTCTTTAATAAATAACGCTATTTTGGAAGTCCTTTTACGTTTAGATATAAATTTATTTATTAACCTCCTTATAAAGTATCTCTTAATAATAGTTAGTACGAATTATATTAAAAGTTTTTGTAATAGCGTTAATAATAGCGTTAAAAATTAGAAATAGTGTAATATTGGAAGTATATTAATAGAAAACAATAGGGTATATATTAATTAGTTTACTAGTTCGGAATTTATTATAAAGGTAAGCCTAAGTAATACTATAATTGTTATTATTATTATAGAGATATAGAACTAGTATTGCTATTTTATTGTTAGTGATCCTTCTTTTAGGGTTAGTATAAAATAGGATTCTTATTCTTAGGAATACGAAGTCTAGACTATAGAAATTAAAGCCCGGTAGATAATTAGGAGGGGGAATTTACAAATTTTATTCGGTAGGAATAGGTTAATTATTAATTATATTGTAATTAAATACCGTTATTTAATTAATAATAGGTATTTTATTTAGAAGGTTGGGATAATTATTGAGGATTGGAGATTCGGTTTCGTTGTTAGTGTAGTTATTAATAACCGATTCGGTATTATTATCGTTCTCAGGGTAATTAAAGTAGCTTTAGCCGTTAATTATAATAATTGAATTTGTACGGTGGCTACGATAATTATTAAAGTCGTTTATAATATTATTCTTTTATCCTATAAGGGCTGGACTTTTAGTTTAATTAATTACTAGTCCGTTGGCTGCGATAATAGTTATTTATTGTACGCGTGTAGCGCAATTTTAAAGATATAATAAATTATTACGGGGTAAAGGTACTGTTATGGGTAAGCTACGATATTTGTTGTTGTACGAAGGAAGTAAGAAGAGAGTGTGCGTTAGCTTGGGTTTATGGGTAGGGTTGTGTGGCCCGGTAGAGTGGGTCACACAGAGCCTCAATACCCGGGCCGGCACTAGTGCCATAGCAAGGCACAGAACAGAGCACGTGATCTGCTGTGCCATGGCCTGGCACAGGGTATGTGATCTAGCCCTGTGACAATATACTTCTCTTGCGCGTATAGAATTCTCTTCCTATTCTTTGCACAATAATTAAAGTCTTAACTTAGTGCTTACTCGCGCCCTGTAACAGATATTGTAATGTGGAGCGCCCAGATTACTATTCACTAGCATGCCCAAATGGCTTGGTTATATGTGGGGCCTATTAGGGCGCCACTACTATATATTTTAGCCCTCCACAATTCTTTCCCTTTCTAGTTCTTAGCTGAGTACAATTATTACGCTTCTTGTGCCCACGAGTCCAAGACATTTGGGTTGGGAGGGTGCCAGTAGGAAAGCATAGGGTGCGGGGAGGGTTCCTCTAAATTATATTGTCTATCTGAAATAAAATCCTGCTCGCGTGGTAAGTCTCGTTATTAATTACATTCAACCGCTATAAACAAAACCGCCACTCCCTCCTCGCTTCGATAAAAGCTCATAACACTACAATCTTCAGTATAGATTTCTACCTTAACATTTCTAGGCCCGACGACGTAACTCTGTAAAGGAACGAGCGATTCAACTGAAGATAACATCTCATTATATGTACTTAAAAGCAGCCGCCACGCATATATTCTGTAGTCTTCTTCTCTATAAATTGTACCCGTCCTAGTCTATCCTACACGTTCGGTACCGTCTTGGCCCGGGACATGCCCAAGGTTCCCGCTACTAGTCTTATAGCTATTTCTTCATGACGAGATACATTGTACAGTATCACTATATCCTTTTCTGCCCGCAGCTCTCTGAAACCTCATACACAGATCCAAATTATCTCAAGCTGCCTCTTCAGTGATATCAACAACTGGATCCCTTACTTTCTTTTCCTCCCGGATCTCCCGGAAAGTGATAGTCGGCACCCAACCAATACTCTTCCTGGCATCCGACACCTCTTCATATAGCTCGTCAACTTGCTCCAGTGTGAGACCTTTTGTCTCATAGATCATGAAGTAAACGAATGCGATGCAGATGAAGCAGCATCCGCCCCAAACGAAGAAAATCTTGGACTGTAGGTTCGCATTGCCAGGGCCGTAGTTGACAAGGTAAGGTGTGCTGTAAGCAATGGCCCAGTTGAGCAGCCAATTCGACGCTGTAGTTATGGAGAGCGACTTGGCGCGGACTTTAAGGGGGAAGATCTCGCCTGTGACGACCCTGGAACCTAACAGTTAGCTGCTGGTAGAACTTGGCGTGATGAGGAGAGTGGGATCACTTACCAGGCAACTGGACCCCAAGATGCAGCGAAGAAAAAGATGTAGAAGCAGATAAATGCAATAGCTGCTTTCTGTGCGGCGAGATTATGCACAATGATCATTCCGCTCGCATCTTGACTTGTCGTTGTTGTACCAAGAATAGCAACGATGAACTGGCAGACACACATCCCAACAGCTCCCCAGAGCAAAACAGGCCTCCGGCCCCATTTGTCGATGGCGTAGAGTCCGGGAAGGGTCGACACGACATTGACAAGATTGGTGATCAAGGATATCAGAAACGAGTCTGAGAATCCGGAGTTCTTGAAGAATTGTGTGCCGTAGTAGAAGATAAAGTTGATGCCAGTCAACTGCTGCAGGCTCTGGAGAAAACAGCCAGTAAGAAGCCGCTTGAGTAGATTTCCCTTGAGGCAGTCTAAGTAGGTCGCCTTCCCGAGGCTCTTCTCAAATTCATGATTGGCTTGGATCTCGGAAAGCTCTTCGATGATCGCTGGATGGTTCTGCTCCAGACGGCGGAGGATAGCTAGAGACTTAGTGGCGGCTGGGAGATTGTCTCTCTTGATATGAAAGCGTGGAGTTTCGGGAAGAATGATCATGCCAACGATCAGGATAATCGCCCATGCAAATTGAACAGCTATGGGGATGCGATAGCAGCCGGTGTTCTGCATGTTATGCGTGGCATTGTTGACAATGGAGGCAAGAAGAAGACCGATGGTGATGGCTAGCTGATAGGACCCGACGATGACACCACGAATCCATTTTGGGGCAGTCTCGGATTGATAGAGGGGGACTTTAAATATGTGTTAGTCAATGCCACATGCACGAACCACTCTTTCAAAATCGCAGTTGCGGGCAGGATAGCCTCTAGCAATACCGTTGAACAGGGTTATCGAGTTGACTTACTGGTTGCCGATATGAGACCAACCCCCAATCCAGCAAAGAATCGGCCAGCCAGAAAAAGAGGAATGCTGACGGCCGCGGTCTGTAGGATAACACCGAAAATAAACACAAACGACGACAGAATAAGGCCCAAGCGCCGTCCAGCCCAGTCGGCAAGGGGAGCGGCACCAAGAGCGCCAAAGAAGGTTCCAGCGGACAGGATGGAGACGATAGTGGCAGATTGCGACGCGGTAACGTCCAAGTGGTGCTCTGGGTTTCTGTAACCTGTCGAAAACAAATCTTGCCAATAGGGCATAGCAAGGATACCGCCAATAGTGCCAGTGTCATACCTACATGGATGTTAGTTACGGCAACACGAGCAATCGTTGTTTGAGGGTCTTGAGTGTGGGAACACACCCAAAGAGTACACCACCAAAGGCGACAAACAAGCCAATGACAATGGCGGGCCATGACTTGCCCGGCACACCTTCAGGCTTCTTGAGTGACAAGCCCATCTTGTCCGGAGGTATATCGGTCCTGAGTGGTGAAAGACAGGAGATTGAGGAAGGAAAGACTCAAAGGGGCAGCGACTTGAACATGAGAGAGCTCATTCCGCGTAGTACTGGAGGCTTTGCCCTCGCCTTATATAAAGATGAAGCTCGAGGTGACATTGGGATACTTGGATAGCCAGGCCATGATGGTCCGATCTGTCTTCACGGGTAACGCCATGAAGATACTTGGAAATCAGTAGAATGAAGCATCAACATACCCGATAAGGGAAGCGACAAGGTCTCATTGATGCAACGCACATGCAAGCCACTATGGGGAGGAATGGCCGAGATTCTGCTGCAGTCAGCTGTCAGGGGTATCATTGGCTGATGACATATCTGCAACTGGCTGATTTACAGGGGTCAGTTCCCCCATCTGGGGTTGTTTTCTGGGGGAGCGGGGAGATTCCTGGGGTCGGGCAGGGCTAGGTTGTGTGCGGGGAGAAGTTGGAGAAGGCTTTGGGGACCACCCCTACTCTTCTGTTCCTACCTGGTTGGTGGTATCCACCCTCGAGCCACCCTCTGGAGGACCTCGCTTACAGACAACCCAAACTAACCTAGAACCGACCATTCCCATCGTCAGCTGAGAACGTAAGCCGGCCCCAAAAGGAGGCCCTATGCCCTGATGCGGTGCACTACTTACGAGTAACGCCGAGTCTGTGGCCGAGATGCGTGCACCAAAGTGGACACACTTCCTTCCATGACTGTACAATACCTTCGGGCTTCGTTAGCGCTTGTTGCGTTCTAGACCAATGGACCACCATCTCAACACCCTCCGTAGCCTCCGACATGGCAGCAGTTACCGAACCACTGGTATCGGGTACCCGTGCTAGATCCAATAGCCCCCGGACTTGCTGTCTCCTCCACAAAAACCCTTCTTGTCCTCCTCCCAGGGTGTGACGAATGAGGAATATTGGCCGAGATGCAGGTAGGTTTTGGTCCGTATGCTGGTACGTGAACAACTAGCCTCCTCACTGACTCCACAATGTACAGAGGCAAACAAACCGAAGCTATACCAACATGCCAGGTCCAGGTCACGAGGTGCTGGAAGTAGACGTCTCGAGGTAGGTAGCTATACGAGAGAAGCGGGATGCTCGCGGTCTTCGGACGAACGGAGAGGTAGGCAGCGGCAACCACAAAGCAATCCGGCTGCCCATATTATCGAGGCGAAGACACGTCCACGACCTCACCGTACACCTTCCCAGCCCCACTCACGCTGTCTGTACGATCTGCTGGCTATTGGCGATAATGAACCTCCGCAGAGTCTGGGAGATTCACGTCCCTCCAAGCCCACCGTGATTGTGGCCGTGACCGTCGTCGTGGGCGTGGTGTTGATAGCGTAGAAGCCGCCTACTTTGGTATGGAAAACTGGGATAGAAGAATTAGGACGAAGACCCCAGGTGTTGCCTAGGGCTTCTATGGTCCTTGAGCTTGCACTCTTCGTCTTCTTTCTCATCCCCGTCTCTGCGGACTACAAGTTTGTGTAATGACGAACTGTCAGGGCGCACAACACCGGCCGATTCCACATCGTTTCACCGAGTAGCTTTATCAGAGCCCGAGTTATCGTCATTAGCAGATACCTTACCGTGTGTCCTGTAGCAGATATTGAGAACTCGGCCACATGGACAATGATTTCTTTAGCAACCACTTCAGCCCCAAACGGCGGCTCGTAGTCCTCATTTTTATCTTTCGGAGTCGCTTCGTCACCTGCTTGAGCTCCAGTCTAGCCTTTAGCGGGACTCTTGACTTGACGGTCTTGAGAGTGGCTGTTGGAGAAGACAAGGTGACTGGCAGGAACTTAAACTTCCCACGGTAGAAGCTGAAGTTCGAAAAGTTGCGGCTGGACATGGCGACGAGAGTTCAGTACCCCCGCCCTTGTCAAACCTCATATGAAAGGCGCTGCTAATGTCAACCTCGGCGTCAAGTTCGATGATCATATCAGTGACAACCGCAAGGCCCGCTGTGATATCATCTCCCTTGCAGAAACCATGACTCGGATCCTTGGAAGAAACGACGTTCAATTCATGTCGACGCTGTGTTCATCTTTATGTTGAGCTTCAGATACAGCTCTAAGTCGTCCTCGAACGCAATCCCGATTTTGACCTCTGGTAGAGGAATCAGATTCGACATCAAAGTCCAGGTCCAGGGCTGGCCAATCTGTATCCGTGCAGTCAGTATCTCTCTCGTATATCAGCTCTTTGACTTGGTTGATGATCCGCTACTTTCATCACCTCTTCGATTTCTCTCCCGATTTCGGTCGAGGGTGTGGTTCCGGAAGACGTCGGTGACGTTGTGGTTGAGAGTGAATCAGCATGTTGCAGCCCCCTGGTGTAGCACTCCTCACGGGTTTCCTCGATATCGAGGCTGGCACTCAGGCTCTGGTCCATGGAATCGAGGAAAGAGCAGATGCTTAGCAATATGACAACTGGCGTTTCATAGTACCTTAGTGTGGCTCCCTCCAACGCCAGTCAAATTCCATTCTCCCGGTCGCTCGGTACTTGGCTCTTCCCTCCTACTTGACAGCATTCAAGCTTCTTACAAGACGCTTTAATGTGTCTTGGACGTCAAACCCGGCACATTTCGAATTTGGTAAGCTTACTGGACTGGCGGAAACGGTAAAAGTACTCAAGCCCACAAATGCCCAGACAAGGACCGTTGCGGCGCTTCCGAGTACCATGGTCATGAAAAAAACAAGTATGCTGCTCGTTGAGTGGTGATAGGAGATAGGAACAATGGATGCGTACAAGGGAAAAGCAGGTTGGATAGGTTTGCACTATGGTAGGCGGGGAATGGGCTTCATATGAAGGTACATATGCCTGGACCATGGGAATTTATCGTACTACAGTAGCGCTAGCAGGCTCTTGGTCTCCTCCTTGGAAAGACGCCAAGGCAAAGTGTCCATTTTGTCGTTGGTGCCCAAACGATAGTAATCCAGGAACCCGGATGTGGTGTAGGGGACAAGCTCCTTAGCTCTGTCAGACGCTACGGCAAGGTACATTAGTTTCATGCAATTAGTACCTCTACATACCGAGATTCGAGAAGGAACAGCACCTAGCATTTTGTGGCTTGGAAAGAGCTATATGCAGCTCGCCTTGGCAATGGCGATCCGTCAAATCTCCTATCTCGAATAATGCGTGCGGAGATAACCAGCTTTGGCAGTCCTATCTCATGGTACGGCAAGCTGTATCATGCCCCTGCAGGTCTGTTTGTCTGTCGTTGAAGCAGGAAGGCGGAAGTTGCGCCGATGCGATGTGTATCCATTGCTTCGGTGTCAAGAGGTGGAGGGGTATGCTCTCTTTTTCAGCTAAACGCCGGCATGGTGTAATTGAAGTACATACGGTATTATTGACCTTGACCAAGAAATCTTGTCGCGTTTGCAGTGGTACGTCACCTGGAGAATGGTCACGACATACATTCGAATGAACCAAGGTCACAGTGCAAGGACGACGGGCGACATAACGCTGGAGACCAGGTCTCCGTCAATCTCTCTCATGCATCTCGGGTACCCTTCCCTTCCTACCTCTCTCTACCTATCTCTCTTTCCGTTCACATGTTTTCTTTTCATCAGACCTCCTACCTAATTCCGTGTACTGTCTGCGTACAGTACCTTCCTTTTCGACCATCGAATGTCTTCACCAACCTTTCCCGACAGATCATCGATCTGCCAATACTGTCTTTCGCATGGCTAACATGTACTTCTGGGAATCATTACCTATCTTGAGAGCGACAACACTCTGAGCTCTTGGTGTTAACCTGATAGGAAGCCTCGCAATGGTTAAATGCGAGTAAGAGTTAGTCCTACTTCAACGTGAATGGTGATTCTAGGAGCCAGTGTCTAACAAGCATCTCTAGCAGCTTCCCCGGCTCATACCCACTCCTGTCAATGGCCCAGTACCTATTTTGAGGCTACGGGTCGTCTCAAGCGACAGCACAACATCAACACCACAAGATCGAGATCACAGCAGCTTGAGCACTGTGAATGACAGGTACCCTACCATTGGGTAATTACCTAATCTTCAGATCTGGCGTAACACAGAATATCACCATGCTCTCTAACGTTGCAAACCAGAACAGTAGCATCTGGCCACGTCAACAGCAAGGCCGCACTCCAGTAACCGGGTAGCTAATGTTGTATCTTAAGCCACTGACGTCTTTTTGAAGAGCAGTCTGGATGTTCCTTCGCTCGACGGACGCCATGCCCGAGGATCTGGCCTTATCCAGAACTCACGCTCCTCTCGCGACCAGTTTGCCGATTCCCGTGATTGGGCTATGAGGCAGTTGTGGTACCATCTACCCAGTGACAGCAGCACCGCATGGCAATACTGCACTGTACACCTCCCACAGGAAAGCCCCTCTGATGTTGCCGCCTTTTGGGGGGTACGTAGCTCGGACGCTGTCTGCCCTGTACTGCTAGATCATAGGATGCCTTGTGCATTACGGGCTCTTCGAGTCGTTAGTGACAGCAAGGCATATCCAGGATAAAAGATTGGGGCGGTCATTCCAGTTTCCTGATATGAAGCCGTCCGTTCGAGCTCGGAGAGGTACCAGGACGTGGCATGTAGAGAGAGAAACTGTCGTCATAATACCACCTCGGACACGCCCAATCTCGACAAGATCCCGCCGGTAAAGGAGAGGATTACTGCATATGGTTTTACACGCCGATAAATTGGATTCTTGGCTTCCCGCTAGTGGCACGCCGACGCCGAGGTAGATAAACCCCTCGATATCTCATTGCTTAAGGGATTCCTTGCCTTGATGGGCGGCCAGTGAAGCATAAAGTTTAAAAAAACGCCCCTTTTTTAATCTTGTTTTTTTCCACATAAGCCTTTTCCGCGCATGAGGATGTGGTAGCGTACACTCGTGCCATTAGATGGCAAACCTATGTTTACCGAAAAAGAAAAAGAAAAAAAAAAGATCTTTTGGTCAGCTTCGAGCGATAGGCGTTGCACAAGGGGGCAATTGTCAACACGCCGGTTACATTAGGTACATGTAGGGGTTGACGGGAAGATGGACCCCTTCCTGCCTCGTGGCCCACTGAGGCCTTATTCAAGTATGACTATTTCTGGGCGCGCCTTCTCGTAGCTTCATTAAGGACTTATTGCGAGCCATCAAGGATGTGGATATCTCTTTGCATCAATTTCCAGTCGTTAAGTTCATCGAGGACATCTCAAGCCCAAATCAAGCCCAGTTCCAAGACGTATGGCCAGAGCGCACTATGCCTGGCTTACAACACAGGATGTGGTACTGGAGTTATAGTCGGGCATGGACGCAGAGTATATTAGAAAGGCGGGAGGACACGTCTAGTCTTCACTTGCTCATCACTCTTCTAGGGTGGTGGTGAACCTTTATTGCAACTCACGAGACCAGGATGATCGGCAGATGTGATGACCAACGGAGCTACTTGGTATCCAATGGCACTTCCGACTTTCCCATTCACAAGCAATGACCGTCGCACCCATCATGCCACAGGAGGGAACATTGATGGTGCTGCTGTGGTACCCGTACATACAAGTCATCAACCACTAACCTATCGGGGCCATCGGCTTGACATCTGGTTGATGTTCATGAATTTCTGGGACCAATGATGCTGCCGATAGTCCGGGGACAGGACGGAATATTGGACGTACTCACTACTACCGGATCAGTCTTCCCTACGTGCCGGCCTGCCACCATCGGAAATTCAGGCTTTACATATTGGGTTTCCAGTGTGCCATCTACTTCTTTCGCGGATAACCGCAACATCTTGGCAAGGCGAAACTGGATCTTTGTCGGTTACCTGTATGCCTTTATCACTATGAGCCCAATTGTCACGAAACCGATATAAAATGCCTCCCTCTGGCACGAAGTTACCAACAACAAGAGATGTTCTTTTTTTCTTGACTTCAATGCATTTTCCATTTGCTGCAGAGAAGAGATCTCGACACATTTGAATTCTATTACTCCGGTCCAGAACAGGAGCCGAAGGCCAGACCTTAGCTGAGCAGGTGCATACCCGTCAACATTTTCACCCGTCTTTAAAATAAACCCCCGAGCTCTCTCACGGAGAGATTTATTTAGTTTATTTCCTCTCACCAAAACTCATGCCGGTGAGTGAGAGTGCACAAGGGTATTCCACAGGACAGCACAAAGTGTGGGAAAGTGATCAACTGATGACCATGTTTTTCCAGTATCAGATTGGCGATGTTGTCTGCATCCGGGGCGCAAGTCTCCGCTACAAGGTCATTGCCGTTACTGGCTCAACGATTACGATCATTGTCGTGAATCCACAACCAGACGGCCAATACTTGCCATTCAATTCCATGTCCCTCCAAAGTGTCGACGAATCAAGGTTAGAAAAGGTTGAGACCTAGCTAAGCCATGCTCAAGGCTGATTGTGATCAGGGAGGTACGGGGTCGTTTAGACATGAGGGATAGTTATGTTTATGTTGGAAGTCAAATTTCACCATATGCAGCGTTCCAGGTCCAGCGAGGAAAAGTGCTGAGTCTAGTAGAGGTATGAGCGACAGACAGAGGAGGCAAACAATGCGTATACCGTCTGACTTTTGTCGGTTGATCACCGGTCGCCAGGCCAACTATACTCTGCAGTGACTTCAGAGTGAAGGGGACTGAGACGGGAAGCCCCTTCACCCCCATCGTAAGGCTGCCAGGCAACAATACCTTCCGCCCTGTCGCGAAATTACAAAACCACCCCCTCTCCTCCTGTTGCCGTCTTCATCTCTTGGTATACCTTTTCCACGGGTTGCCATCCCATTCTTTATCAACCTCAACAAATTTGCATACAAACAGCATCTTGCCGACATAGCCCTCTCTCTTCTCCCACTCTTCACGTGGCTTGTGCTACATCCACCTCGATTTGATATTTGGCCATCTTCCGTCGCGCTCCTACGATTGGGATACCACTCGCAGCAACACTTGACAACAATTTCGGCATTATGGAGCAGCCTCAGGTCAAAATCATTGGTGGCCGCGAGTACGCTGCCACGGGCTCCAAGTTTGGACCCTCTTACCTGCCCGTCGACGTTATGGCCCGCATGAATAATTCGGCGCATCAGGCTCTCGCCATGTCCGCCGTCGTCCACGTACTGATCCCTTCGCCGCGCGTCTTTGACAACATGGGAATAACTAACATGGCGCTCAAAAGGACAAACGATCTTTGAATTTCGAGGCACCAGCCAGAGAGCCCCTCTCCGGCGTTGATGCTCGCAAGCGCTTGACAATGCCTAGCCCGGAACGTGGCCCCGTCGCATCAACATTCCGCCCGCTGCCCAAGATTCCCAAGGCCAACGGTAAGCTTCCTGTTCGCGCGCTTTTTGTCCCACGTCCGTACCCGATGGCGCGCGCCGAGACTCCCCCCATCATCCTTTCTTCTCCACGTCTGTCGAAGGCATACGTGACCTCGAATACCCTGAAGTTTGACAGACCCGAGTCCACCGGAAACCTGAGCGCAAGTTACTACAGCTCGGCGTCGTGGAAAGAAGAACTCGCAAAGATTACCAGCAAGTGATGCCGGCGTGGGTCAGTCTCCAGACGGGAGATAATGCATGCGGAAGACCAAAAAAGGGGGAAAAAAGATACAGCACAAGAATACACAAAGCCTAGTACACTAATAGGCAGATTCTCATTCTTTCTCCCGATTATACCTCCCTTTGCTCTCTCTCCTCATCCCTTGGTAGTTCCGCTCTTACTTGGGTTATCGCATGAAAAGATCTGCCAGCGCAGTGATATTTGCCGCGTCTTTGTTGATGATCAGGATAGGAAGCTAACTATCTGACCACATCATGTGTGAATTATCACAGATCAAGGATCTGTCAACTCTTTTGTTTTGCCCATCCGTATTGCCAACAACCCCATGGAGGCGGCCATGGTCTGCTTCTTCAACTCCATTACCGATAGCACCAGAACCAGATTTGAGGATCTGCTTGCCAACATGGTCGGCCAAGCTTCTATTACGGTCAAGTCGGGCTCCGACTCTAGTACTGCTGACAACGGCAACGGCGACGGCAGCGGTGACGGCGCAGCCTCTTCATCCGCCACCACCACCGCAGCCGACACCACGTCCACCACCAGTTCTAACATCGGAACTCCTCGCCGTCGTCGCGCTGCCGGTGGCGGCTCGGGTGGTTCAGGCCGTAAGCCCGGCGGTACTCCCCGCAAGAAGCCCGCCTCCCGTGCCGACGTCATTGAGAAGCGCGGCTCTTGCGAGCGCTGCAAGAAGTCCAAGGCAAAGTGCGAGCCCATCCCCGAGTGCATCCGTTGCGCCAAAGACGGAGTTGAATGCTCACTCAAGGAGACAATTTTGCAGGAGACTGGTCGTCGTCTGGGTGCCTGCCAGCGCTGCAAGAAGAACAAGGTCGGCTGCAAGAAGATTGAGAGCTGCGGTCGTTGCCACAAGGCCGAGCAGCCTTGCTCTTGGGCCGTCAAGGCTTAGGTTGACACCGGTAGGGCCGTTGAAGATACATGGGGAGTTCTGGGTCTGCGGGTCGAAGGAGTATCCGACGTTTGACCTGGAGATAACCGACTTTATGAGCTTGGATCTCGGTGCAGCTTGCCTGGCTGAGGGGTTCTTTGCATTGTTCCGGAATGGCGGCTGTTATATGGCTCGGGATTGAGGAGTGTCGTTTGCGTGCATGGGCTGATCAGCAAAGAGGTATTGGAGAAGGGGAGGAGTTTACCTATCTTGGACTGCTCATTGTCCGTTGCTTGAGCAAAGGATACCATGTCTCACAAAGTACTGCAAAGAGAGCCGAATTCCAGAGTCCAACACTTTCAGTGGCTAGTTGTCAACTGTCCCAAAGTAAAAATATTGGGAGTGAATGATGTGTGCTCTCTACATGTAATCGGGACGATGTGCGCAGAGAAAGGAAATCCACTTGTTGATGATGCATTGTGCATGCATGCATATCTCATTATTTATGCGGGACGTACCTGCATGTCACTCCTTTAAGTTCCCTGTTCACACTTTCTCCACGCCCCCGACTTCTGCTCAACTTCACGAAAGCGTAATCGCCAAAAAAATCAAGTGTGTTAAGCATCTGTAACTGGCTTCGTCTACTCGATCCCCGTCTTTCAGATACTGCCTATTTCAGGTACTGAAGACAGCCACATATCTCACTTCCATCGCCGACCCCTCCCCTCCAACCGTCGCATTATTTGGCGTCCTCTCCAAGCTCGGATTCGCCAAGACATCTGGAAACGAGCCTCCCACAGCAACGTTGAGCAAAATGTACTTGGGAGTTCGCGTAAGCGCCGTCCAAGCCTTCTCGTCATCCACCCGGCTCCCCTTTACAGTGAACACGACCTTCCCATCAATCCTCCACACGATCTGCTCCTCCCTCCAACTCCCGCCGGGGTTCGTTCGATCAATGTCCACCGAGAACCTATGGAACCCACTCCAGCGGTGCGCCGCCTTATTGGTGATCCCCGTATACTCATTGCACGGGCCCGGCGCAGTTTTCCCGCAGTGTATTGTCTGCCACGCTGCCGACGCGCCGTTGACGTTCTCTAGAATGTCAATTTCGCCAACCATCGGCCAGTTCCAGTAGTTGCCTCGGTACGCTGAACTCATCATCCAGAATGCAGGCCAGATACCAAGCTGCTTGCTGACAGGGAGGTCGCCGAGCTTGATCCAGGCCTCGATTCGGATCGCCTGGCCAGGAGGACAGACAATATCTCTAGCTGCGACAGTCTCGATCCGGGAGGATGTCCAATTACCCGTTACTGGGTCCTTGACCGGTGTGATTTGGAGTGTTCCGGAAGTAGTGATGACTATGTTGTCGGTGGAGGCGGTGTAGGTCTGGACTTCGCCGGTGCCCCAGTTCTCCGGACCCCCGGGATAGGATGTGCCCAAGTCAAAGGCCCATTTGGAGGTAGAAGGAAGGGAACCGGGCAGGTACAGGGCGAAGTTCTCAACAAAAAGTGCCTTCTTGAATCCCTTGGGAAGGTGGACGTGATACCCGGTTCCGTGACCCCATTCTTGGACCGGTGTTTCTGCAGCATGCGCTCCGCTGAGGAGAGCAAGACCAGTGGCCAAGACCAGACAGAAAGCACCCATTTTGAAAGAATGGACGCTCGGCAGGGAGGACGAGCTAGCTCACGGAGAATGTAACGAGAGAATGTTCGGTCGAAGCCGGAAAGCGTAACAGCACTCACTACAGCGAGCCGCCTGGTATTAGCCGAATCGAGAAAGGGAGAGAGCTAACATCCTGGAGCTAGCTTCCTTCTGGTCCATCTTATATGCCAGTCATCCAGGTACTTCTCATATCCTCGGCGGAGGCTGGTCTATTACAGCCACTATCGTCGCCGCGCCGGCATGCTTCACGTTCGGGAACGCTAGCATTCCTGTTTATCCCTGGCTTTACCAACAAGGCTGGTCGAAACATGGAGGCTGAGAAGGAGTAATTCTCCGCACACCCACCTGAAGTCAAAAACTCAGGTACGTACACTCAAAATAGTGGGCCCGTGCACCTACTTATGTCTGACTGCAAATCTAGTTTTTACCTGCTATATTCTGTCTTTTTCAATACATGCCAACATTACCGCTACTGTTTACCCTTTTTCTCTCACGATTCAATGCATATTATTGCTTAGCTCGGTGATCTATTAATCAGAAAGATGACCAGGGTGCTCGACAGTTGATTCGTGTAAAATACAATTAAAACACAGTTATTTACATGATGACTGGCTTGGTTGCCGCGCACAGGCCATCCCGAATTTGATGATCCAGAACTCTACCCCCATTACACTGAGAAAATTGGTTCTATTTCAGAGGCTCTGCAAAGTCTTGGAATTGATGGTCGTATTAATAATGCATCTTCATCAAGGGAACCAAAAGTGGTACATGTTTTGCCAAGGATGTATCAACAGGGGTAAGACCTCTTGACGGTAACCATGATTTTGTCATGAACGAGCGTGGGCATACGGAGGATTACTCCTGAGAAGCACGTGTAATGTGTCTTAGATCCCGCTAGCCACGCTGCCGCCCCTTTTCTTGGAGATAGGCAGCCCCGAGACCGATCCACTCCGGGACATTCCACGGTGGTTCTAGATCCAAGACAGGACATACCTGTCCATGGTCTAGATCGACTGGAGGCAAAGATTGCAATCCCACGGTCTCATCCAGCTGAATACCATGCGAGAACGATAGCGAGCATATCGGAAAGCGAAGACTCATACATCATGTTTGTTGAACCATACAGAGGAGGTGACTACCAATGCGAAAGAGGGACTACGGGGAAGAAGGAGGACACAGTCCTTATATACACTTTGAAATAGCCCAGCATGTGTACTATGTACATCGTATCCACTTGTGCCAAGAATGCCAAGACGTGGTGATGGCTTCAAGACCATTCACCGGAAGATATAGCTGGGCTGCGTCGTGCAGTTGTTCATCAGACCTGTTTCTCTGGACACGATATAAGGAGTGAATGGCCCCAGAGTGTCGCTGCCTAGATATTTTTGCGCAAATTGCCAAGGCGTTGTGAAGCATCGCCAGTTGTGGGTGCAACCTGAGTTTCATGCCTCTCGGATCACAAAAGGCATAAATATCGGGACGCAATAGCTTTCAGCGTATTTGGAAAGTAGCCAAAACGTCACCCTTGCGCAGAACATCACAGTCAAAAGTACTACATGCCTCCATCAGCAAGCAGGTCTTAAGCAGTCAATATCCAGCTCCGCATACAGCCGTCCAGCCAGTTCAGGGGTCACGGCCATGTGTATCCGCCGATTTGCCGAAAAGAAATGCTGGGAATGCAAGAACGTCATTTGGAGCGACATCAAGGAGGAAAAGTGCTGGCCGATGGTTCTGGAAACAGAGGAGGAGGCTAAGCAAAAGGGTCGAACCCGAGGACAGTTCGGAGGATGCACACAAGGGGTGACCAAAAAGACTGATACGGACTGGAGCACTTGCTCCGACTGTGCCAGAAAGTCATACCTATAGGAGCATTGATGGCAATCTGAAGGTTTCGAATCAGGCCGATATGCCGTGGTCACAATGGAAGTTTGATGAACGAATGGGGCTTACAGCTCACGCTCTGAGCAATGGCAACTTCAAATTACCGCAACCATGATACTCGCGTCCACTCACAAGAAAAATCCGGCCTCGATAACCCCGAGGATGGCAGTTTCCAATACGTAAACTCAGAGATGGTATTGATCTATGGAGCACAGAGTGAATCATCTGTGCATGCCGCTCGAGAAGTAACAGCAGCATCCACTTGGGTAGCATAATAACCCTTTTTGTCCCTCACCTTGATTCTAGACAACAAGTATCGGAGGAGAGTGCACCACCATCCTCGATAGCGGCCATTCAGGCTTGTCTCCAGCTATATAATGACACATTTTTCGTGTTACCAGTCTAAGAATAGAATGGGATGGATCTCGTCAGTGTGTAAGACCATCCCAACTCTGCTCTCTGGGCGCTGAATCCTATAAAAGGCTGGCTATAGGGAGGCAGATTTCTCCCATCTCGGACCCCATAACCAGGTCCAACGAAGTTCCAAACAAAACTGCTTCAACCTTTATGCCCCCCTTTGACAGTCAAAGGCAACCAAGAAAAACCCATCAAGTATTATCGATCAAGATGTGCAGAACAACCGTGTACAGAATCTACTGCGCCGACTGCAACAAATTCATGCGCGAGCACAGGGGCAGAGAGTACTGTGAAGAGGTTGAAAAATACTATAGAAAAGGCTACCAACCAGGATTGGACGCTTCTTGGCCTGACGAGTATGGCAGGTGCGAGGTTGGAGAGATGATTAGTGTATTCACAGACATGAACACGCAGCGATGCTTTGCTTGCAAGAGAAAGAAGGATGAGAGAGGGGAGTCACTTAAGAGGAAGAGAGACGAAAGAGGGGAGTTACTGGGTAGTAGGAACAAAATGAGGCGCCAGGGGTTATGAAGTATCATGAATCATATCAGCGGCCGAGAGGGAGATGCGTCCAATCCTGAGGAATACTAGGCAAAGGGGAGAAGGACATGGGTCAGAAAGAACTCTCGGTCGCTATTCGAGCCCTCTCCGCCTTGGCGGGCAGGTGCCATCAGTCGGAAGGGAAGGAAGAACAGAGAAGGCACGAGAATAGATGGCCGCGCATGCATATGTTTGTAGGTAAAGGAAGGTGAAGTCGCGAGCGTTTATCTACTGGTGGTCTGTTTTCGACATCCAGTTTCTTCTTCCTTGGCATCATCTCGGCTTCATTGAAGTCCCGGAGTCGATCGTTTCTTGCACGTGAATTTACTTCCAATTGGGACAACCAACATATCCGCTCTGTGCCGTTCCGTAAGGTATCTTCGCCAACGCCCTAACCGGCCTTTGCAAAGAGATCCACAAGTATCTCGCACATCATTATATACCCAACCACCCTGTAGATATCCTCTCTGACGAACCCCATGTATCATCCCCAACAGGTCTAGTCTAACAGCTCACTTTCCCATTTCTGCAAAAAATTGAAGCTTCTGACGCATTAAAATTGTAGAATTGGAGTAATGACAGTGGCGTTGGATACCTACTCGCTCGAGATGATGACGATGGGGGTGTTCAAGGCCTGAAGGCTGCTTTCTGATTCGATTTGATCTGACTCTTGGACCGTCATGGCACTGGTGAATTGGCACAATGAAGCAGTGCAGTGCCCATTCCATGTGTGCCGTTTGCGTGTGAAGTAGAGCCCAGATATAGAGGTATGTCTTCGCAAAATGCGGCTTTCACACAACCTTCTAGGTTACTAGCTAACGAACGAGGTCGTCCCAAGTAAACAGAGACCATCGCGTTCGTACTTCTCATATGGCTCTGACGCAGATCGCTCTCGAACATATACCTCTAGTAACGTACAAACGAGTCGTGATATACGACAATTAGCAATCCACAAGATAAATACCTCCTCTATCCCCCCCGTCTATCGTTCTGTCCACCCCTCTACCTTACCATCCTCAAAAACAAAGCAGGTCAAGCCTACCTCTACAGTGCAAACCAACAACCGTCGTTAACCAATACTACCACCACCAACAATTGCTCGCTGCTTCACCATCTACAGCCCAAGAAGATGTGTCTCCACGCCATTACCCGCACCAAGTGTCCCGGTTGCGCCAGGGAACTGAAGACCAAGACCAAGGAGACCAAATGCAGCGATGCCATAACCAACAACAAGAGCTGGGGCAAGTGCAGGAGCGGAGGTAGAACCACGGAATCGAGCACATGGGGGCGGTATTGCTATAGTTGCAAGGGTAAGAGCAACTACAAGGAATACGACTGCTAGACTATAGTGGTACGTTGGCTGCTGGAGTTGCTTGTGATGGAACAGTTGGGACAGTTGGGACAGTTGGCAGACAGTTGGGTGATGGAAGATGGTGAAAAGTAGGCCTTACAGATTACCTCGAGGTCAGGAATAGGGAAATAACAATAACACTCCGTTCGTCTTCAATTTGCCTCTTGTCGATGGTACTTTCGCGTCCCAGCCCTCGCTACCTCCACTGTATAGACGTCCCCTTTTCCACTGATGTACAATGGAAGGTAGCATCTTCAACGCAAAACTTGGGAATTTCCCCGTGAACAACACCAAAAAGTCGCCCTCGTCACTCCTCGATTCAACCGCAACATCAACCCGGAAACAATGCATTTTGTATTCTAGAAGAAATCAAACTCGTATTGTGAAATCTGCCTACCTTAGTCTGAATTTATCAAGGTTTTAGAGTGTTGGTGAAGTCGTTGATTCCCAACCTCAAAAGAACGTGTTTTGAGTAAGAATGACCAGCTGTGCGTTTTGAAATGTTACCCACAGTAGCTCTTCATGGTGTCCACTTGTCAGGCTTGTCAAGTGGCGGTAGAAGTAAGCCAAACAGGTCACGGTCAAATATATCACGCTTTCGATATACTCTTGCCAGCATCCACTCGTCTCTATCAACATCCCTTTTGATCGAGATTCAGAACTTCTTCCTGATTGAAACGGCACGATAGAGTTTTGGCCCACGTGCTAGCTGAGAAGTGCTTGCACAGTCAAGTGGAAGAGCGGTTTCGAGGCACAAGTAGGACAAGGAAAGAAAATGAATAGAGAGCCTGAACAAGAGCTTCCTTGAATCATAATTTGATCAATGCCAAATGAAAGAGTGAATATTGTCAACGAAAGCAGTGAGTCGAAGCGGCAGGGAGGGATGAAGAAGGCAGTGTAGCAGGGAGGGATGAAGAAGGCAGTGTACCGTCATTGACTGAATGTATGTAGTAGGAGTAAGAATATCTGGTCGGCCTTCAACCATCCGTTCACCTGAATCAGATCCAGCCCTGCGGATGACAAAGTAGTACGTGATGTAGATGGACCCAGCGATGTGCAGACGACGAGAAAATAACCGAAGCATTCAATATATCGCCTCGGGCATGAACTGCCACGGACGGAGGGATTGAGAATAGATAGCGGGTATAGATATCGAAGGTACCTCGGCCTCCAAAAGGTCAACGAGGTCAGTACCAACATCGACCACCCTCAAACACACAAGACACCCAAGATAGCCGTTACTACCCCGAATAGCCCACCTAGTTCCAATGTGCACAAGACACGTTTGCATAACATATTGCCAGCATTGCGCCGTCGTGATGCGCAGAAGATCCTACCAGGTCAAATGCAACTACGTGATAAGTCGCCAGCGGATATGGGGCGGTTGCGGGCACAGGTTTCATCAGGAGCATGTCAGCTTCAGAGAGTGCTCGAGGTGCGCACGCGAATGAAGGCGGTGAAGAGGAGGAGGAGGAGTGAGGGAAACAAAGGATTGAAGAGTGGACAGCAAGGAGAATGAAGGTTATTCGACCTGTTTGGATTGAGCTAATGATGGGCTGTCACGCAGCTGATTAGTGACGGGTAAGGGAAGGAAAAAGAAGAAGCCGAAAGAAGTAAAGAGGGAAGTCTGGAAATGAAGCAAGGAAAGGGGTGTGTTGTTCTGGTATATCCACTGAACTCCTACCCAGTCCCAGGTATACTTTTCAACCAAACCATTGTACAAAACAATGGCCAGGTGATGTACCCAAACCAAAACCAAAAAAAAAAAAAAAAAAAAAAAAAAAAAAAAAAAAAAAAAAAAAAAAACCCTCCTAACAAACGCCCAAGCCCCAGAACTGAAGCCGCCCTTTGACCGTGATCATTTCCGTCTTAGCGAGAAGCACAGCTCCCTTACTATTCACCTCATCCCCATATTCCTTTTCTGCCATTACCCATATGATTCCGATATCCCCTCTCCATCTATACCTCATCGATCCCTGTATTGTTCACAGTCTTTACCATCTTCGTGGTCTTGGTGTTCCTTGCCCACCACCCCTGGAACCTCTTGGTTTTCCCGCCTGTAGTGGCCTTCAGACAGTCCTTAGCCTCCTTCAGCAAAGCTTCGAGTTCCTCGTCCGTGGCATTTCTCGTCAGGAGAGGCTGCATGGAGGCAGTTAGGCGGTCCAGTCGTGCTTGGTCGAAGCCGTGGATGAGTCCTTCGGTTACTGTGGGTTTGGTAATCTTTTTGAGGGGCATCGAGTAATACTTCTGGGGGTTCGACGAATCTGCTCGTGGGTATGTCAATTTATTTGTGGATATGATGATGCGACTGGTGATTCTTGTGGGTAATTGATAACGATTACAAAAGTAAGACAACGGATATTACATATGAATTCTTGTGACTGAAGTGCGTTATGGTTGCGAAATTCAACTCGACATTCGTGGTCGGAGGAACGGCATATTAAGGGGTCCGAGACGTCTTCTGGAAGTAGACTCTTCCTGTTGTCTCCGACACACAGTTGGCCTTGCCAACAAGGGGACTATTGTCGAGTCTTTGTCCACTGGGAAACAACTCGGCAAGAGAACCATACAGGAAGCCAGGCATGCGCCAGGCTGGCTGAAAGGCTTTAAAGATGAGCGGGCTGGAACAAAGACCGACCGTGGAGAGAAACCACGTCCGCGCCTTCGGGAACTGTAACGGTCCTCGGGTCCCATCGTGGGTGACCAACCGCAAAGCCCTCTGAGGTAGCGATTTCCACGTTAGGCTGTCTACCCCTCGGTGGCTTGATGCTTACCCAAAAGTCGGGTGGAAGGAGATGCGGAAAACTGTGAGGCGCCGGCAGTTGATGGATCTATTTGCCGGAACACAGAGCAACGGGACGGGACAAAAAAACAAGTAGCGAATCATCAAGTGGTATGTCATAGAAATGAACGATATGGCAAGAAAGCACTGGTTGCTAGATGTCCAATGGGACCGAGTTGACGTCAATTTTGCACCACATGAATTGACAGAGCGAAACAGCAATACAGGGGAACGAATCATGAGCCCGGCCATGACTGTAAAACCAAGAACGCAAAGCACAATGTAAGCCCCTAGGCAATACTCGCCGTCAATGGGGATATTCAGAAAGGAAGGTTCTCTGGTATCACTCGCTCAAACCAACCCGCTGGCCGACGTAAACAAAACAGAAACTGCTTGACCGGACAATATCCATCCAGGAGGCATGTTTTCCCATACCAAAAAAAAAAAAAAAAAAAAAAAAAAAAAGCCGGAACGCCTTTATATCCACCAGGCCCAAGAACGCCAACATGCAGAACCAACAGGATAGATAGAAGAAGGACTGAAACAGGCTAGAAGAGAACAGCCTATTCCTCAGACCACTGCTTGGGTGCTTGTGTCTGTGAGTGAGAAGCAACCACCGTGTTCACCTAGATACTCCTGTTGTGTGCTTCCCTCAGACGCTTAATCCAATGTTTGCGCACGTGGTTGGGCATCTTGCAAAACACCATGGCCTTGTTCTCGTCCGTGAGGGCCTTTTCGGCCACCTTGAGCTGAAAGTCCATATCCTCCTGGGCGAAGTCTCGGAAGAAGATCTCGACGGCTTGCTCTGCCCAACTCAACTTGGGCTTGGGAAAACGAAGAACCTCTGCCAAAGCTGTCACCGCATCGGGAGTAGATAGACTGCTGACTGCGGAAGAGCTGGCAATACCCGAGGGCTGAGAAGCGTGGTCAACAGAGTTTGAGGCAGTACGGCGGCGTTTTTCAGCGTTAGTAGAGCCGCTGGAGCCACTGCTGTCAGGCATGTGAGGCCTTCTTCGGTTCTGGACAGGATTCTCCTCGGGTGGCGTGAGGGCGGACGTGCTCGGGTTATTTCGGGGCTGATGTGCGCTCAGGTTGGGCCGGGAATGTGATGGTGGTTGAGACGACGGCAAGGTTGGTGGAGTGGGAATGGGGGCCAACACGGGGGCGGGGATGGGAGAGGGAAGAGGGGCGGAAGCCGAATGGACTGGCGGCGGCGGAGGAGGCATGTGGGCCTGTGGATGAGGGTTCGCGTAGGATTGATCGGCAAGGAGGTTCATGATGGTCGTATTAGGGGCATCCTGGTCGGCGTGGCCGGGACCGTGACCGGGACCAGAGCCGGAGCTGGAGCCGGGACCGAGGCCGGGGCCGGAAGGGTTGAGGTTGTCGTTCGTCTTGCGGGGGCGTTGTTTGGTCAGTCGTTTGGGGGCACCGCCAGAGCCGATGACATCGGGAAACAAGATCTCGTAAAGTTCTTCATGTTCGAAAGGTCTTCCACGAAGGGAGCGAGAGAGTGGTTCCATCTGATATAACAGCAAACATGAGGTTAGCGGGAGTCGCTGAATCAAGATGCGACGAGGCAACGCGATGCCGACGTGACATGACGCACCTGCAAATGTCTGGCCCATGCTTCCTCGGAGGCATTCACAGTCCTGGTCATGACATCGTAGTGGAAGTCGGGATCCTCGCGCAGACCACGCCACAGACGGAACTTTTTCCGAGCATTGTCGCTCTTGTTGATGAGGTGGCCCTTGTTGGCATAGGCGTTGTGGTGGGTGATGAGGGCCTGCAATGCGCGGTCCCAGGCCTCGGGCTTGAACGTGTTGCCCTCGCGTAGACCGAGATGGACCGACTCGCAGAGGGAGGTGAAGAAGGTGGTCTCATAGGCACTGTTCCAGCTGAAGCGGGGGCCGCGGTGCTTACCGGGAGCCAAGGCGGGAGGGCCGGCACCGGGAGCGGAGGCCGGGAAGGGGTCGTCGGACATTGGGGGCCGTCCGTGTGGTCCGTGGTCCGTGGTCCGTCCGCGGTTCCGTCCGGGATCCGTACGGGTCCGTTGACCTCTGCAAGGTATAGCTAAGTACAGACCGCAGTAAGTACGGTACCGTTAAGGTGCCGCGTTGTCGGGATGGGTGGAGCCCCCTTTCTGGTCGGCTGTTGACGCCGTTTGTTGACGCCGTTCGAGTAGGTGTCCGACGGAGGCTACTACTTGGACAGTGGCCCCGTCCGCCAGTTGAGTTGTTTGTTGTCCGTCTAGCAACGGGACTGACGGATGGTCAAAAAGAGGGAAAAGGGAATCGAAGACGGAAACCAAGCCGCCCGAGGGTTGGTCGGGAGGGTGCGAAAATACCCCAGAAACGGAGGCAGAGATGGGTCGATTGCACTGCAGTCAGTGGTGGGTCAAGGCGGCGGGGCCGGGACTGTAAACGAAGCCAACTTGAAGCGTCAACACACGACGGCGCAGCACGCGCAGCTGCCAGGGCAGAGCGCGAGACGGTCAAGCCGACAAGGTGAAGAATTGTAATTGCGACGGCGACGGCGGGAACTGAGCGCGCCTCGGCGTTTCAACGGGAGAGAGAAGAAGAAAGGTTTCGTTTCAATCGCGCTTCCGTTTCATGGCAATCATGGGAATCCCGTCATCAAGCGCGTGCGTAGATGAATGGATGTTCTCGATGGTCATAGACTGTGTGAGTGAGTGCGTGAGTGGCAATCGGGGGTTGGTGCAGGTCTTGCTTGCGAGGAGGAAACTGTTAAAGCCGTGCACTGCAGTCCAGATCCCGTCACCGTTTCGCCGAATGATCGATTGCCACTGCAGCGACCTAACTGAACTTCAAGTTGGAGAGAAGGCTGCAGTGACAGTACACTACAGTATGTACTGTGTAGGAGACGAAGACGGAAGAGCGGGGCCTGTTGGACCGCAGATAAGAGAAGTGGACCAACGCTGCCAGCTGGCGTACTCGTCTCCACTGTCAGAGAGGTACAAGGCTACAACTGAAGCAGACTGCTTGCGGTCAAAGCGCAAAATTCAAAGTCGCTAAAAGTGAAACGGACCAAGTCCAGACCTTTTTTTGCTTCCTCTTCTGCCAAGCCAGGTCACGGGATCTTGTGGACCCTGCTGCTCGCTCAAACCATTTGCATTCGACATGTCTGTCCCCTTCAGCTCCAGACTCCGCTCATCCCATTCACCAATCGAGTAGGTACCTCACTCCGTCTCAACAGCTTTCTGATCAGCCACAGGGCAATGGATGGCGTATAGTGTACGCGTTATTGGATCATCGGCCCATGTGTGTCAGGACAGAGTTAGCTCCAGGTGCAAGTGCCAGTCCCCGGAATCTGGGAGTCGTCCACTTCCGTGATCCGGGGATAGCTTCGCCCACAACTCCACGACCGGACAGCAACATCTGACGAATCGTTCAAGGCTGATCACAGTCCACAGGGTTTCATCGGCCGCGCTCAGCCAATCATACATGACCGAGAATTGGTGTGCTCCCAGGCCACTTACACGCCCAGTTTCAGAATGCCAAGCCCTTTGTTTCAACTGTTTCGAAAATTACCGAGTTCATGAGTCGTCAACACCAACACCACAAGTGTCACAGCCATCCATAGCTACCCATGCCCACAATGCTGGCCCAAGAGAAGTATGTCGGCCCCTTGGAGTTTCGATGCTCGTCTCTTCCGAGTCTCCTGACGAGGCCTCCTCGTCGGCGTCAACGGTCTAGATGGCGAACCAGTCTAGTGATTCTGGTAATCACACCTCCTGAGGTCCAAGCGGTCCTGGGTTCGAATAGATATTGCCTCTTTCCTGTCCCTATAACAACATAAAAGATTGATGCAGCACTGAGCTTACTTTGTGTTCTTCTTAGCTACCTTTGTCTGTATCTTCTATTCTTCCCATTCGCTTCTGCTAAACTCTACCACCTGGCGTGGTAGTTGTTGCCTTGTTATTCTGTCTTTTGACTTTTCATCACTCCCTCACAATGCCTGTCTTATTCAAGCTCTTCATTTTTAGCGTCTTGCTTTCCCTGGTGGTGGCTGTGCCACTCACCAAACGCTCGTTCAAAGTCGAACGGGTCAGGAATCCGAACTTCAAGGGACGCAATGGCCCCAGGGAGCTGTTGAAGGCGTATCGGAAATACCGAATGCCAGTTCCACAACCCCTACTTGATGCCATGAACAACCAGAGCAACGGCACCACACCAACAATCACATCAATTACCCAGGCAGACACCTCCGAGAGCGAAAGCCTGCGGCTAGACGCTACCGGTGGCAGCAGTACAGCAGCGGCGGCAGGAACGGCTACTGGTGCTGTCACGGCCACCCCTGAACAGGACGACGTCGAATATCTTGCTCCAGTCACCATTGGCGGTCAAACCATCAACCTCGACTTCGACTCGGGCTCATCCGATCTGTGGGTCTTCAACACACAACTTAGCCCCCAGTTAACAGCTGGCCATCAAGTCTACAACCCTGCTGCATCCAAGACCTTCAAATTGCTACCGGGACATACCTTTGAAATCAGCTATGGAGATGGCTCTGCTGCTGCCGGGAATGTCGGTACCGACGTGGTGGAGATTGGCGGTGTTTCTGTCCAGAACCAGGCTGTCGAGCTTGCCACCAAAGTTACCCAGACATTCATCCAAGATACCCAGAACAATGGCTTGCTCGGCCTTGCCTTCTCCAAGCTCAATACCGTCCAGCCTCAGCAGCAAAAGACCTTCTTCGACAACGTTCTCCCCTCTCTCGCCGAGCCCGTCTTCACTGCCGATCTCCGCCATAATGCTGTCGGTGCTTATGAATTTGGCCGCATTGATAACACAAAGTTCACGGGACAGTTGGCATGGATTCCCGTCAACACAGCTATGGGCTTCTGGCAGTTCACGACATCTGCCTTCTCCGTTGGAAACGGCCAGTCTGTGAAAGTGAAACCGGCACAGGCTATTGCCGATACGGGCACCACTCTGATGCTCGTTTCCCAATCAGTGGCCAACGCCTATTATAGCCAGGTCCAAGGAGCGAAGAACGATCCAAACGCGGGAGGAATTACATTCCCCTGCAACACAAACCTTCCGGATCTCTTTGTGGATGTGGGTGGGCGGTATATGGCCCGCATCAAGGGCGATGACATCAGATTCTCCCAAATCGATGCCACCAGTAAGTCTACACCATTTCCCTTTCACTACAAGTCAACCACTAGATGCTAACATCGATGCTCTTTTAGCTTGCTTTGGCGGTGTTCAGCCCACGACATCTGCGTTGGAAATCTGGGGAGACATCTTCTTCAAGTCTCAATTTGTCGTTTTCAACGGCGGTAACAATACGCTCGGCATGGCCCAACATGTGTAGTAGCACATGCTTTATGTCGACTAGTTTTGACCGCCATGACTGTTCTGCGCCGGAATGATTGATATAGTATACCTAATAATATTATTTTGAAGAACAGACCCTCAGGATCTATTGGCCTGCTTTAGCTTGGCCGGTGTAAGTTATGTGATCACTCAGCTTGACTTGTGACCAATGTCAAGTGGACAACTGATCTTTCACGACCTGTCTCTCAGCTACATGAACCTTGGTGTTTTCTTTCTCGGAAGCACGGTATATGAATGATTGGTGGGAACGTTTACACGCAGTGCACCAAGATCTCTGGTTGATCGTTTCCGCGAACCATTTCCCATCTCCTCACAAAGTTGCATTTGCCTTGCGGCTATAACCCGGTCCCGCATTCGATCCGACACCACAACCAAAAAAAAAAAAAAAAAACATCCCGGTCCTCAGAACATCACGCGAGCTTCAAAGGCACCATCCCCCGCATTCCAACTTCAGCACTGACGACTGTGGCTTCGGCATGACCTTCTCTTGGTATCATTTCCAGTCCCGAAAACACGATGGGAGCTCCGCCATTCCCAGGGGGGCGGGGTGTTGCACAGCGCGAGAAGAGGCTACATGTAGCCTAATTAATATATGGGAATGCGGCCCGGCTGTTGTCGGTGGTCACAACCGCTCGGGATGTTTCCTTGGCCAGTTGAAGAACATAGTATTCGCTCGCCTCGTGTCCTTCCGAACGCCACAACATCTCGTCCGCTGCCGGAGCTGCCCCCGCCATTTATTTCGCACATGAAGCATGACCCCACTGCATCACGATGATCCTTCGGGGCCTCAGCGCCCGATGTTTTCCAGTCTAAATCCAGGTCTTACATGCCCGGAAAATGATACTGAAGATGGAATTAGGTAAAGTGGCGGTAGCTATCCGTTCGGGAAACTCGCCGTGGTTCCGACTAGGCATTTCTTGAACTTCAGTATAAGAGAAGGACGTTTCTCGGTCTGGTGGGAAGGGAGGGAGAGGTTGACCTTATGAGAGGAATTCAACCCTGGCTGAAGGACCACCAAGAAGAACCGGGACCGTCACAACAATCAACGAAGCGCCCCGACATGCACCTTCGAATATTTGCGGTGTTGGCCGCGACTTCCCTCGCCTGGGCCGAGACTAGCGAGAAACAAGCTCGTCAAGCCGGCTCAGGTTTTGCGGCGTGGGACGCAGCCTATTCTCAGGCAAGCACTGCTCTCTCCAAGCTTTCACAACAAGACAAGGTCAACATCGTCACCGGAGTCGGTTGGAATAAGGGCCCATGTGTTGGCAACACCCCAGCTATTGCATCAATCGGTTATCCCCAGCTCTGTTTACAAGACGGCCCTCTCGGCATTCGGTTTGGAGGAAGTGTCACCGCGTTCACGCCAGGTATCCAGGCGGCTTCAACATGGGACGTCGAATTGATTCGACAGCGCGGCGTCTACCTCGGTGCGGAAGCCAGAGGGGTTGGCGTACATGTCCTTCTTGGACCCGTGGCCGGAGCGCTTGGCAAGATCCCCAATGGTGGACGTAACTGGGAGGGCTTTGGTCCGGATCCCTACCTCACAGGTATTGCCATGAGCGAAACAATTGAAGGGATCCAGAGCAATGGTGTACAAGCTTGCGCCAAGCACTTCATTCTCAACGAGCAGGAGACGAACCGCGAGACTATCAGCAGTGTCGTCGACGACCGCACCATGCATGAACTGTACCTCTTCCCTTTTGCCGATGCTGTACACTCAAACGTTGCAAGTGTAATGTGCAGCTATAATAAGGTATGCTCATCCTTGCCTTCTTGTATGTAACCTGAAGGATCTGAGTGGCTGACAGGCGTCTAGGTCAATGGTACATGGGCATGTGAGAATGACAAAATCCAGAATGGCCTTCTCAAGAAAGAGCTAGGTTTTAAAGGATATGTCATGAGTGACTGGAACGCCCAGCACACCACAAACGGCGCTGCAAACAGTGGTATGGATATGACGATGCCCGGCAGCGACTTTAATGGCAAGACGATCCTGTGGGGACCACAGCTCAACACCGCCGTCAACAATGGTCAGGTCTCCAAAGCAAGACTGGACGACATGGCCAAGCGCATTCTCGCATCGTGGTATTTACTCGAGCAGAACTCAGGCTACCCTGCGACCAACCTCAAGACCAATGTTCAGGGAAACCACAAGGAGAACGTTCGCGCAGTGGCAAGAGACGGCATTGTTCTGCTCAAGAACGACGATAACATCCTCCCGCTCAAGAAGCCTAGCAAGCTGGCAGTCATTGGGTCATCGTCCGTTGTCAACCCTGCGGGAAGGAACGCCTGCACCGATCGAGGATGCAACACCGGTGCGCTCGGCATGGGTTGGGGCTCCGGCACGGCCGATTACCCTTACTTCGTAGCACCCTATGATGCTCTCAAGACGCGTGCTCAGTCCGACGGAACAACCATCAACCTACTCAGCTCTGACAGCACCAGCGGCGTAGCCAACGCTGCCTCCGGAGCCGACGCCGCACTAGTCTTCATCACAGCCGATTCCGGCGAAGGCTACATCACGGTCGAGGGCGTGACCGGCGACCGTCCCAACCTCGATCCCTGGCACAACGGCAACCAGCTAGTCCAAGCCGTGGCTCAAGCCAACAAAAACACCATTGTCGTCGTCCACAGTACCGGTCCCATCATCCTGGAGACTATCCTCGCGCAGCCGGGCGTCAAGGCGGTCGTGTGGGCCGGTCTTCCCAGCCAAGAGAACGGCAATGCCCTCGTCGATGTCTTGTACGGCTTGGTCTCTCCCTCGGGTAAGCTGCCGTATACTATCGCCAAGAGCGAAAGCGATTACGGCACTGCCGTGCAAAGGGGAGGGACGGATCTGTTCACTGAGGGTCTGTTCATTGATTACCGCCACTTTGACAAGAACGGTATCGCTCCCCGGTATGAGTTCGGTTTCGGTCTTTGTAAGTTTTTCCCTTCCCCCTTCCACAGTAGGTAGGCAACAGTTCACTCACCTCTTCTGTACCTCAAAACATGCAGCCTACACGAACTTCACATACTCCTCCCTCTCCATCACCTCCACCGCCTCTTCCGGTCCCGCCTCGGGTGACACCATCCCCGGAGGCCGCTCCGACCTCTGGGAAACCGTGGCGACCGTTACCGCCGTCGTCAAAAACACGGGTGATGTGCAGGGCGCCGAGGTACCCCAGCTGTACATCAGTTTACCCTCTTCCGCGCCATCGAGCCCGCCGAAACAGCTCAGGGGATTTGCGAAGCTGAAGCTGGCGCCCGGAGAGAGCAATACAGCTACGTTTATTTTGCGGAGGAGGGATTTGAGTTATTGGGATACGGGCAGGCAGAATTGGGTGGTGCCTAGTGGCAGCTTTGGGGTGGTGGTGGGTGCTAGTTCGAGGGATTTGAGGTTGAATGGGAAGCTTGATGTTGATTGAGTCAGCTGTAGGGAGTAGGGCTGGTGCTGGCTTTCCTGAGAATTAGCTGCCTCTTTCTTTTTCCTTCTTTCTTTCTTTCTTTCTTTCTTTCTTTCCTTCTTTCTTTCTTTGTGTGGCTTTTGTTTTCTTGGACAAGACCTCTTCCTTGGATCAATATTTGGAATGTCCAGCACGTGTGTTCATTTGAGCGTGGGCTCGGATATTGAAGACCAAGCCGCTAGCCAGACTATGTGGTCTCATATCGATGAGTAGCGCTACAGCGAAAAAGCTTCAGGGAGCATCTCGAGTAGCAACAGATTAGGTCGAAGTGCCCCCCATGCTCTTTTGTGTTCTCTTTCCATGGGTATCATGCTTATGTGCAGCTACCTGTGCAGGTTGTCGGACTTGGGACCAGTACTGTCTCCGACTCTTTGATCCCAGCCCTCTATGTCATAACTGACTCCCATCCAACGCCACCGGGTGTCTGGCAGTAAGATCATCATCCTTCCAACTCTCGGTAGCCGGGCATTAGAGGCAGCCAGCAACGACAAAAACCGAAATAACCGACCGCCATCCATTCCCCGGATTCCCTCCCACTTGTTGTTGACTTGAAAACCATGGATCATGCTCAACAACCCCCATTCGCCCATGGTGCCGGGATCAAGGGGCGATGGTAACTTATCATGTCACACAATGACACGCTTGTCTCCGGACTTCGGTTGTGGTACCATGCATGCTCCGAATATGGGATGTTAAAAGTCACGCACGGCAACTGTCCTCCTCTCCTTTAGTGCCCAGAAGCCAGATACCGTGCTTGCCGCGCGAACCC